CCCCAAAACCCCAAAACCCCAAAACCCCAAAACCCCAAAACCCCAGAGTAATATATAAAAACTGAATGTGCAAAATCAATACTTATCTATTTAATTAATATTATGCTAGCTTCTTTAATAAAAACTACTTAATCTCTTCATCACAGCACCGGCTTAAAATAATTATTCCAAGATTATATCACTGCTTAAATGGCTAATAAAAGTCGAAAACTACACACCTAAAAGGAAAAGATGCTTAAATAACACCATTCCCCACCTCCCGTAATACTTATTATCCCCTCTACCCCTTTCACACACAATCCCTCTCACAAGGCCCAATCCCACTACCCCAAGTCCCTTAACCCCAAAATTCCCCTCAAAGCCCCCTACTCCACCACCCACTCCTCTATCCCACCCCACTCGGTCCCAATTTCCCCCACAAAAACCCCACATTTTCCTCTAAATAACTAAAAAAAGTCCCAAAATTTTTTCTAAAATTTGTACTGTAAATTAGGTATTTAAGCTAAAAATATTAAAATTTAGAAATTTGCAGATAGGTTTAGTGGAAGAACTAGGGGAAGGGGGATTCAGGCTTTGAGATGGGGGTTTTGGGGATGTTAAAGGTACTTATACCAATCAAAACAGTCTATTCTTAAATATCATCTTTCTCACTACCAAAACATTATTATTCTCACGGATCTCTCTATACTCAATATAAATCATCAATATAAATCATCAATACGCCTTCATAAAATATAATCTAACTCCCCAAAAAGTACCCCAATACACCTCCCATAAACCCCAACTCCATCCCTACCCCAATCACTTAATCCCTCTAAAATCCCATACACAGCCCCTTCCCATCTCCTCTACCCCAAAATCCCCAAAATCTCCCAAAATTCCCTTCCTTTCCCCCACCCCCACTCCTAGTAAGCACCCTTAGCCTATTCCCCAGCCAAAATTCCCCCTAAATTCATACAGAACAAAACAGAAATTTCCCCAGCTAATTTTCAGCCTAACCAAGCCTTCCTGGGGTTTTGGGGTTTTGGGGTTTTGGGGAGATCGGAAG